CTCAAAATTGGAGTATAAGACAGCTTGATGTGGATAATGCTTTACTTAATGGTGATATTGATATGATCTTTACATGGAACAACCTCCAGGGTTTGAGCAAGAGGAATGATTGGTTTGTAAGCTCAATAAGTCTTTTTATGGCCTAAAACAAGCCTCTAGGGCTTGATTTTCTAAACTTGGTACCACCCTAAACAAGCATGGGTTCTACACCTCATGAGTTGATTCTTCTTTCTACTTTTCAGCATGATCGTAACTCCACTATCTTTGTGCTCACTTATGTGGATGATATCCTTATAACTAAGTCCAGTACTAAAGAAATTCAACTGGTTATCAATGAGCTTCACACTCATTTTTCACTAAAGGATCTTGGAGACTTAAATTTCTTTCTAGGCATTCAAGTTGATTAAGCCTCAGAAGGCCCGTTTCTTAGTTAAGAATCAGACATTGAAGAAATTCCCAAAAGGGTTAAGATGTTGAAAGCCAAAGGTGTTAGCAATCCAATGGTGGCAGATCATCAATTGTCCAAATTTAAGGGGCAACCTTTGGAAGATGGAAATCTATACAGGAGCATTGTGGGAGTACTTCAATATGCCACTAGAGCAAGGCCTGATGATTATTATTCAGTCAACAAAGTAAGCAAATTCATGCAGAATCCTCTAGTAATGCATTGAAAAGTTGTGAAGAGGACTCTAAGGTATCTATCAGGTACAAAGGACTATGGTTTGCACTTCACAAAAAACAATCAACTTCATTTAAATGCATTTGCTGATGCTGATTGGGTAAATGATTTAGATGATAGGAAGTTTGTGAGTGGACATTGTGTCCTCCTTGGCAATAATCTTGTTTCATATAGCTAAAAAAAGCAACAAAAGTTTCAATATCGAGCACAGAGGCATAATAGAAGAGCCTTGCCATTAATACAGCCTGTGAAATGACATGCATTCGGTCTTTGCTTGAAGAGTTGAGGTTCAAACCAATGAAAGTTCCTACTATTTGGGTGGATAATCAGGGGGTTGTTCTTGCAACCAATCCAGTTTCACACTTAAGAACCAAGCATATTGAACTTGATTTACACTTTGTAAGAGATTGGGTGATCAACAAGAAGCTGAAAGTCCATCATTTGCCTGGGGTTGATCAAGTTGCAAATTGTTTCACCAAAGCTCTTACGGGAAATTCTTCTTGCTCCACAGAAACAAGTTGAAGGTAGTTGCTAGAAGAGCAATCGAATTGAGGGAGATTATTGGAAGTTCTCATGCAAATAAATCAACCCTCTTGATGACCATGCACAACGGTACACTCCCATGCACATGGACAAACAGATACAACAGGTGTGATGGCCAAAGAAAATATTCCTCTTATGTCATGCATGATGCATGTCACCCAATGATTGGATGACACCTCATTGTACTAGGTCGTTGAGGATAGAAAAGAAATATTCTTTGATGAGGTGTCTAGCATCTAGATTATTATGTTTGTGTATAAGTCAAGTGTATGGGCTGACATAAACAAAACAATGAAAAATCGATCATCTTCATCCATGAGCTTGTTCTTTATCTTTCTTTGCCTTGTTTTTCAGTTTTCCAGTAGTACGCTTAAATTACATATAGTTTGATTAATTTAAGTTCCTAAATACTAGAAGTCATGCAGCTCATGCACGCGTGAACGAATACCTAGACAACAAGTTGGCAGGTAATATTTGGGCTGACCACAAATCTCTCACACCAATGAGTGGTTTAGCAATTATGAAAAATGAAAGACAAGAGCTAGAAAGCGGCCTTGTTGGACAAGAAGATGATAGAAAAAACTTTAAAGTTATGTCATATAATCTAAAGGTGATTAGAGAGGGATAGACACGCGTGCAAGCCCTTTGATGAAGATGGAGTTTTGGACCTCCTAGAACGCAAATGGTCGAGGGTCAATACGACCCGAGAAGACCGAGCGAAGGCGCGAAATGATGCGCGCATGGCCTAGGAGACGTACGCGGGCTCGAGTACTAGGCGCGTGAGCGCGACACGGTTCGACGCGTACGCGGCACTGGCAGCACGAGCGCGCGCAAGGTGACCCAGCAGCGAGGGCACAGACACGCGCAATAGCGTAGACGCACCCAGATGCGACCTGAGAAGCTTGCACGGGGACAACGAGGTCTGGGCGAGACGCCAAGCAGACGACGAGTCTCGCGTGAGGGAGAGGGTACGCGCGAGAGGAGCTCGCGCGAGAACAAAGGCACGCACATAGAGATGCTGCACGAGGCCTAAGTCCGCGAGGCGCACGAGCATGGCGCGCATGCAGATGGGCCTGGACCAAGGAGCTCACGTGGGCCTGGTGAGCACGGCCTAGCAGCATGGGCCTGGGGGATCGGGGAGCTGGCAGCGGGTTGAGGACACCGCACGAGCAAGCGCGCGGGGGGGTGATGCGCGAACTCACGAGGCGAGCCGTGCGAGTCGAGGGACGAAGCTTCTATAAGATATTTATTAACTAGATTAATTATATATTTAGTTAGCTAATTAGCCTGTGTTAGTAGTTTAGTAGATGTTAGGATATTTGTGTAACAACATTTGTGTAATAAAAATTGTCATTTTGAAAATTACCTTTGGACAAAACTATTTTTTCCTTTTTTCGCTAATTATGAATTAAGTGAAATACAGATTATAAATATTATTATTATTATTATTATTATTATTATTATTATTATTATTATTATTATAAATTGAGACAGCATAAGAATATGCCAAAAGCAGTCAAATGCTTGATTAGAGTCCCACTTCCAGGTCATTGCAACTTGAAAGAAATTCCTACAATGTGTCAAGAAGATTCCATTTTAAAACCCATTTATAATCTCCCCTCTCTCACTTTCACTTGTTCTATTTCCACTTTCTTGTTTGTGATATTAATTACTATATATATATATATATATTTATTTTTTTTGCAGAGGTTTCATTTGTGTGCCGCCGGCGGCGTCCAAAATTTCACTTGCCGGGAAAAAATTAATCCTTGAAAAATTGCATGTAGAGAATTTGCATTTGTATTGTTTGTGCCTTTGCCAATATTCAGTGAGAAATTGCTAGGAAATTCGCTTAATGTTAACCATCCAACATGCATATGGTTCTCTCAGATATGTCAACTCTTATGTTGTGGCACTTAATTTTGCAAAGAGAAATTGTCTACGTCTTGTTTTAATCCTCGAAGATATCCACTTAAAAATAATTAGTGAATTAAATATTTTAGTATAATAGTTGGCTTGTCTTTTAACATGCTATAGACACATGCCACACTAAGTAGAAGGTTTGAGTCAGTACATTGATGAGAGATGCATGCACATTAACAATGCAATTATGTTACAATCTTATTTCACTATTAAGTGATGCAATCAATGGTTAGTGGGTTGAACTGTTATATTTTTTGGCACAAAAATACATAATTATACTATAAAAATAATATATGTTTTTTTAGTAATTTTCTGTTAGTTGTTCAATAGTGAGACAATCATACCTTTCTAACAAATATACATTTTTCCATATTAATATATAATACTTTAAAATAGATATAAACAAAAGTATAACATTTTATAATATGAGTATTCATTTTTTTATGAGAAAGTATGGTTGCTTAACGGTTAGAAAGCCTAACAAGCAAATTGTATTCTTATCTATATTGTTTATTAAAATATGAAAATAGAGTATAAATATAAATATAAATATTTGTTAAAAATGATATGATTCTTTTAAAAGTAATAGCATGTAAGCATGAATATATACAATATTCTTGGAACAGTAATTCTATGGTGCGGGCAGCCTTTGTACTTGAATGACAATAGCATCGCCCTTTTTAGGAGAAAAAAAAAAAAAAATACAGGTTGACATTTAGTTCTACTTAACATTAGCTTATTCTTGTTAGAAAATAACATGCATACAATCAGTTGACATTTAGCTATGCCTAATACGGGCCTACTACATTGGGATCTGGTGATTTTAGCTAACATGGGTCAAATATTAAGGCCTGGACATCCAAAATCGGTTCACAAAAATTTAAATGGAAATAATAAAAGTTGAAGCCAAAAAGTAATAATTTAAACACACACACACACACACACATTCATTTTACCATGACAATCGCCTACACTCGTATCTGCTCAGAAATCTCATCTTTTGTTAATAATAGACTAAAGAACAAACTCTGCGAGGGGAATTGGATAAATTTATTTCCCTCAACA